ATATATATATATATATATATATATATATATATATATATATATATATATATATATAGTTTAACCCTCTTTTTATCTTCTCATAATGGAGTCCAAGGTTGTTTGTCAAGGTTGATACCGAATGTTTAATCAACGCTGTATATCCGATCCCACATTGAGACTGTATAAAATTTCATGATGGAGAAGCGTTTTCCACTTATATCTCTCGCATGTCCCGAGCAATCGATCTGTCTCTCCATCTTGCCGCGCGCGTCCTACGCCGATTAATCTACCTCTAACCTTTCTCTTTTCACGCCCCACCGTACCGGGTATGCGTGCTCATCGTCCACGACATTCACTACCTTCCGGACGACCCGAGACCGGTCCGGTGCGCTGGCACCGCGAAGGCCCTTAGGCCACCCCCGACGCCAATCTCTACCCCCATGCCGGCACCCAAGGGTGGCTGCACCTGCCCGGTCAGATTCACCGACGAGTTCACCAGTCCCAAAGCGTCGCTCAACATCGACGACGGTGCCGTTCCCGAGGACCCGCTATCGCCCGTGGGCTGCGTCGGTCTCGCGCGCGGTGCCCTCGCGCACTTCTCCAGGTGATGATGGTGCGAGCGGACCGCCAGACGACTCACATGCACTGGTATCGGCACTACGATCCTGGTGCCCGAGCCGGTGTGTTGTCCCGTGGCGCCGTTGTGACGACCAGAAGCACCAGAGGGTGTCATTGCTGCCGCCGCTGCTGAACCGACGCCAACGCCACCGCCACTCAGCCCAGCCTTCACACGTTTCCACTTAGCACGTCGATTCTGAAACCAAATCTTCACCTGCGCCACACAATTGCGCTGTTCACTTCAGAGTTACAAACGCGAGCGCGCGCGCGAAGGACAACGATTCGAGATTCGATATTGAGCCTTAACTAACTAGCTCTGTCTCTCTCTCACTTACCTCTAACTATCGACGGGAGTATCTTAATACCCAAGTAAAAAACAGATCAATTTCTAGTCAAGTAGTAGTTTTTAGTAGACCAGGAATTCTATTTATAGAAACTGGCCACTTTGGGCAACGCTTACTTCGTCAATAATTGGATAGTAAAAATAGTCAGTTTCTGATCAGTTTCTATTCAGTTTCTAACCAATTTCTTTTTTAAATTTTTTCAAATAGTTTTTATCGTTCGATTCTACATGGTCAAATAATTTATTATTCAATAGATAATATAAAAATAATGTGAAACTTGTGTTTCAGAAGGTAGAGTCTTCTCACATGGAAACTCATTATTGCGATAATTGCAGCTTTCGTTTTATCATTTCTCTTACCTAGATTCTGCCAGTATTTCTTTGGCCAATTCCTGAACAGTTACTATCTAACAAACCCTAACCAGTAAAAATTTGGCAATTTTTGGCTAGTAATCAGTTTTTTCTAAAAATTCTTTTACTTTTAACCATCAGTTAAATCGCAGTAGCTGATTCGAACTTAGCTAACAGGCTGTCCTACTGTTATTGCTAAGAGGTGGTTATTACAAATGAAATTCCTTGCGAGGTAAAAATTTATTAGCTGAATTAAAAACGCACATCAGCACGAATAGGTAAGAGAACAGCTATTTCTACATGCCTTATCATATGTACATATTAAAACGTCATTGTTTTTGGCAACAAATATGTCTCGCTGTAGCGCCCAAGTATAAACAGCTCTAATAAACCTTAACATGCATCTTCTGCTTATTCGATTTGTGCACGTAGGAACTGACCTGGACCTCCGATAACTTCAATGCGTGCGCTATGTGCGAACGTTCCGTCAGGCTCAGGTACTTCTTCGCATGGAACTCGCGCTCCAACTCCAGCAGCTGCTCCGAGGTGAAGGCGGTACGTCGTCGACGAGCCTTGTTGCCACCAGTGCTCGACCCGGACGAGCTCTGTCCATTCTCCAAAGTACCGCCGCTAGGACTAGTGACGACATTGCTGACGCCGCCGACAGGACCATCGGAGACGTCGTGACCTTCGCTGGAGCCCGCAGCCCCGCCGCCCTCGTCGTCGCTTTCAGCTGACGCACGGCCATTCTCGGAGCCTGAAACAGACAAATGAAACGCGCGAATAGGGTAGGCTGCTCTCTTTTTGCCCGGGATCTTAGAATATAATTGTAACACATGTGATATATCCGGTACATAAATTATTGATTGAATAATGAATTTGAATATTGAATTTATAAGTGCCGAATCTTCGAAAGATATAAATGTCAATATCTCAATGAATTTCTAAGGGAATATTTATAACAATACGTAAAAAAGTTTTAACGATCCGATGAAAGACTGGCGATATTGAAACGTTAAATTTAACTTCTTCAATAATTCAAAGATACAGAATTGAAGAATCGTGCGATATCCAATATCGATTAAAAGATAATATCTGTGTGATGTTATAAGCTATTATTACTATTTATAACAAAATGATATAGTCATAGCGTCATAGCTCAATTCAATCAGTGATACGCTTCAATCGATTGTTGCGAACGTGAATGCAAATCAAAGGTCTATATCACTTATTTGTCGAACAATTATTTTGGTAAATTTACTTATAATCGCACAATTAAGAACAGGCACAATTAAGATTAATTTAATATCACGACGATTATATTTGCACAATTATATTCAATAAACTATATGTATAAAATATCTATAAAATGTCCCTTTGTCAATTTGTCTATGCGTTGCCTATAGACTTCTAAATCCTTTATCCTATCTGAAGCAAATTCTGCATAGTTATTATCTAGAATACTGTTGAAATATAAGCTACATGAAATATAAGCTACATGAAATATAAGCTACATGAAAAATCTGTACACCCTACTTTCTTTCCCTGACTTCATCTCCTTGACACTTTATGATAATCCCGTCAACGTCAAGTAGTGTGTATGTCTTTTCAGCTAGCATTCCATAAATAAAATCACCGGGCGTGCATATGACAGATTAAAAATAGCTGTGCAACATGAAATAATTACAAAGCGAAAAAGGGTTTAAAATCGACGACAAACTCTCGCGACATTAAGTCATCAACGGGGTTTATCGCTACCGAGAAACTATCGGCGCTAGTATGTATAGCCTCTGCCGGCTATTTAATATGCGGGGCAGATTGGTCGTTCCTTCATAAAAGTTGCGTCGGCAACGTTTCTCCGTCCGCGTAATTTCCCGTGCGGCGTTCTTTTTTTCCTTCCTTCATCCGCGAGGCAGCCGAGCGCGACATGTAATATGCACCGGGATACGAAACAAAGTTACCGCGGAGTTTGATGACTCCGTCAGGTCATTATTTATTGAAAATTGTTCCTATGGCGCGGTTATATAGTAGCTCACAGAGCGGTTCGCGCTCGGCTGATAAACGTTTCGACCATCGATCGAACGCAAAAGCGGATATTCGCGTCAACGAATACATAAGAAAAACGCGAGACGTTTGCGGAAGACCGATATGAGCATCAGGTCGGATGTGACTTGGACTATTAGATTTTAATACATGTGGGAGGAGGAGAAGGAAAACCAAGCGCGTCACAGTTCTCTGGTTTTCATTGGAAATCGGTAATGTGTCTCCTCAGGAAAATTTGAAGTAAAAAGAAGCCAAGTCAAATGTTTGTGCTGGTTACCATTAAAATATTAGGCAATCGAAGTGAAGTAATATTTTATCCATTTGCTTTTTTACACGTGCATTTAGAGGGTTCCACATGATCGTCAAAAAATATTAACGATGATGGCAAAGGTAAATTTTAAAAATATATAAAATTTTCATGCAAAAGATAAAACAAGGTGACCAGACATCCCGTTTTTCTAGCACAATTAGGTTTTCCACTCTTTGTATTGGATTTTTTCAAATTTTATTTGAAGCGGTCAAACTGTCTCGGATACGACTACATTGTTTTCCTGATTCAAAGAATTTTTAACATGTTTTTGACAAAGAAAGACCTTGTCAAGAAAATTCATAGCTTTGGTAAATGTAATAGCTTTGCTTTTTCTTCTTAATTTTAAATAAGAATAAAAACAGTTTTATTTCGACAATAGTTTCTATTTTTATTATATATAGCAGGTCTTCATTGTTATTAAATTATTTTTCATGTCTATAAATAAAATATTGCTTCATATATATATATATATATATATATATATATATATATATATATATATATATATATATGTGTGTGTGTGTGTGTGTGTGTGTAAATTTTCAGTGATGTCCCTTCTACCCGCTCTATACATTAATAAGGAGTCTCGGATTTGTGTATGTGGAGCTAGGAAATCTGGTCCTTAGATAAAATCACACTCCATCCACCAGCTCGGATAAATTGAGACGAATTAAAATCCATACGCGCAGCCATTTCCCATAGCTGTGTCGTATAAATAGAGTTATAAGTTCCGCTCGCTCTGTCTTTTTCTCGCTGAATTCTCCCGAGTAAGCGAGCGCACGTGATTCGCGTACCTTTTCCCAAGCGCAACGTGGTCGGGTCGCATGATCGCGAGAGCCGATCATTATTCGCGGGCGCATTATTTCCTGTTAAAGTTCGTTGTCAACGGTCAACTCGGCTATGGTCACAGCCTGACTTATTCATCGGCCGCGATTCGCGTCTTTCTTATCCCGAAGTTAGCGGACCGACCGGCCGATCGGCCGGTGCGCGGCCAGCTCGCAACTTTCCATCAAACCGCCGGTTTGATGCACTCTCCAGACGATGACTTATTCAGCGGATTTCGATTAGGTGAGAGAGCGAAACGCTTCCGCGAGCGTGCACGGGCGTTGTCCCCTGTCTTTACACTTCGCGACGGAATCGAGCGTGTAGATCGATGATTCGCGAGCGCGAGAACGACGTCGTTATATTCTCGTTTACCGAGCTACTCTCTATTCGAGCGCGGAGCTTTTAAACTATACGCTACCTGGCGAATAGAGTTATTGGAGCGAGGCTATAACCCGAAACTCAAACACGAGTCGACATTGGAGTTGACAATTTCGCTTACTTCAAATCGCCAATTCGACACTTATAGAGAATAAGTAAAGGCAACGCGAAAGTAAGAAGCGACACGTATGCGGAACGACAGGATGATAAACTTCGATGTGCGTTCATTAATAAGATTTTATGTAAAGGTATAAGAAAAAAAGAATGTTTACGGAGTTGCGACAAAACTTCAATAAAAACTTATAATATTTGTACATAAAAACCGAATGGCGCATTTTTCACACTGAGAAAAAATACCTGAAAATTTATTTGTGGTAAACATAAAGTTTATACAGAGAGAGAGAGAGAGAGAGAGAGAGAGAGAGAGAGAAAGAGAGAAACTTTATATCCCATAAATAAATTTAAATTTCATTTAATTCATTTAAAATTAACATATATAATGCCGCGATTTTTTTATTTAAATAAAACTAAACATATATATATTTTATTATGTATATTTATTTATTTATTAAAATATATATTTAAAAACTCTATTTTTTCCGTGTGAGAGCATTCATTACAAAAATGATTTTTTCAACTATATGCTATATATATTTCTCTATATATATTCTTCTATGCTTCTATATTCTCTTTTTACATATTTATAATAAAAAATATCAAACACTTCTTTCTTAGTGTGTGTCCAGTTTATTTGACATGATTTTTTATTTTAGTGAATCCTATAAATCAATTTTATTAATAATTTTTATACTATTTTTATAATAATTAATTTATATTAATACATTTTTTATATAATACTATATACAATGTACAACATAAATATGTTACTACAGTGAATGTGTTTTTATATCAGTTAAATATTGAAATATATGGAAGTAAATACGAATTGCACAGTACTGTCACAAAGTGCACTTGCTATGGATCACAGAAATAAAAATCAAACATGAATTTGATCGTAATAAGTTAAAATGTCTGCTATATAGCGAAACAGAGAGAAATGTCTAATGACATTATACAGGATTATACAGAATTATGTGACGTATGGAATAATACACCAGTAATAGTCGAGCTAATGTGTCCATCAATTAGTTTGACAGTAAACTTGCCAATTATGACAAGCAACAGATTAATTAGGTCACACGGTATCTTTATTGATTCGGTCCTAAGAAAAACCGCCGGTGTGTTTAATGTGATATTAAAATATTATCGATTTACCGCACATAATGAGCATATTCGAAAATAGCAAGTTCAACTAGCAGAACTCATCTTATTCAATCGTCGGCGACCGCTAATTATTAATACTCAATGGTGAGACTGCCGGAAATCAAATCATTTTGAAATCTTCATCGCCGGTGCATTGATCGTTTCTGTCGGATTAATTTTCGCCCCTCCATTCGATTTTACTGTTTCCTCTCTCTGCGAACTGTTTATTCGCCGATTGACACGTTTTATCGAACTTCTTTTCTTTATTTCTCTTTATTTCGCGATATTAGACAGTCGAGTGTAATTATTAAAGAAGTTGTAAGACAAAAATAAGTTGTTAAAAACTCATTAAAACTTGCACTGTATATTTTCGAAATTTCTTACGGTGAAAGTTCACTCGGAAAGTAAAGTGACCACTGAGTCATATTTGAGTTAGTTTTCACTCTTACAGAATAAATTGAATATTTTCATTCGAAATTGCAGAGTGAATCTGATATATTCCACTGTCATATTGTGAAAGTTCACTCGGAAAGTAAAGTGACCACTGAGTCATATTTGAGTTAGTTTTCACTCTTACAGAATAAATTGAATATTTTCATTCGAAATTGCAGAGTGAATCTGATATATTCCACTGTCATATTGTGAAAGTTCACTCGGAAAGTAAAGTGACCACTGAGTCATATTTGAGTTAGTTTTCACTCTTACAGAATAAATTGAATATTTTCATTCGAAATTGCAGAGTGAATCTGATATATTCCACTGTCATTCCAATCGGGTGAAACATTTATTCATATGAAGTCAGAATTCATTCTAATCTTGAATAAAACGTTCATTCTTGTAATTTCTAATGGCAGTATCTTTACTGTTGCTTCGAGTGAAAATATCGCCACTTTTTCACTCATTTTGAGTAAGATTTCACTCCAAAAAATGTTAAGAAT